CGCGCCTGCCGAGGGGGGCGAGCCGGCCCTGCCCGGACGGAGCGAGGGGAGCAGGGGTGGGGAGAAGAAGGGGGGAGCTTTACATCTACGGTCACTAGCGTTAGTTGCGCTACTCCGGTACTGCTGCCCAGCTGCTAACTTACACGGTGCGCGGTTAAGTACAAAGGGAACTACTGGAGTTAGCAAAGGCTCCGACCGAGCACGCTCTAACTCCAATGTCTGCCCTGGGCTGTCCCAGGCAAGAAGCTTCTCTTCACAAGACTGTGTAGCTGCAAAACAAATGTAAGCGTTAAAATAATAAACAAACAAAAACCAGAAAGCAACATAAAAACCAACAGATATACGAACACACACAGCCCCAACCCCGGTCGGCACACAAAGACACCCACATCCCACCAACCTCCACCTGCTCTCCTGCCTCTGTCACACATCAGCTGGGCTGGACACGGCTCAGAGGGGACCGCCCTGGCAGCGGTGCAGAAGACCCCTCAGAGCACTGTAGGAACCACACTTAATGCAGCTGGAGGCAGTTTGAGGGTGACCTAAAAACACTGGCCGGAGTAGTGACAGAGCAGCACGAGGGCAAGTACGAGACGCGAGTGAAAGAAAGTAGGGCATCCAAATCACTGCAAACCTCAACTCGGAGGGGAGCGGGGTGGGAGAATGCTGTCCCGCTTGGCAGAGAGGCGGTTTGGCACTCCTCAGCGTACCAAGCAGGGCCTTGCTATGAGCAAGAGGAAGGAGTTAATAAGAAAGCAGCGATGGACAGTTCACAGCAAAAAGGACTTCAGAAGAGATCATTTCCCTTCCATTCTGGCTGGACAAAACACCTTCCCTATTGCACCTCATGAACCAGCAGTCTGACATCCTTAGAACTACTTCAAAAATAAGTAACGGGGAGGCTCTGACTGCCACATCGTATGAGATACTGGTGCAGTGTGCAGGAAACCAGGGAAGGAAGACAGGAGGAGACAGAAGAGGGCATGCCTGCTCCTTCCTTTCCAGACTGACCCAAACAGGATCAAATACTCCAGACCTTCCCAACTCACATTAAGGATCCTTCCCTTACAGTTTTAAATAGTCAGGCAGCTAGTACAGTATATCTGCGTAGGGGAAAGGCTGGGAATCCCACCTAGATTTTCTTCAACCTACTAGCTTTTTTCATATCCATTTTCAGAGTTTTTCAGCCACAGGCTCCTTCTACAGAGGCAGCCAATTCCAGAGAGATCAGGCAGACGGTACCATAACTGGCAGACTAACCGCGGTACCAGCCAACTGAGCTAGCAAGACAGACACGCAAGGTAAAGCTCACAGCAGAGAAATGCCCCTCAGAGCCAACATTATCCAAGGATTTTCACTCAGAGCACCTGACAATGGATTCAAAACCGCTAAGGAGTCTTCCAGCAGCCACAGCCTCCTATCCAAAGCATCCCTGAGGCAGTCTATAAGAACTGGTTTACATTCCTTTTGTACTTCCTGAGCACCATCTGTGTCTGGGGTGCTCAGAAGTTCTTGACAAGTAAGATTGAATTCATCCTCATGCGTCTCCTCCGTCAGACCTGCACCACTGACCCCATTTACCACAAGGAAAACGAAGAGATGCAGTGTGACTTGCCCGAGGAAACCCCAAAAGGCAGTATTCTCTGCAGAGAACTCCATGTCTCACCCAGATGAAAGCAAAGGAATGAAGTTAGCTAGGATGAGGTTCTGGGGTGTTTTATTTTGTTTTTTTTTCCAAAGAGGGAAGGAAAGGTTTGGAAATTTTCAGTGTGCAAAGGAGGGTATTTTGCAGGAAGGGAGATGATTTCTTTTTATTCTGGAATACTGAAAATGAAAAATCAACGTTCTGGAAGGAAGTTGAGGAAAGGAAAAATCTTGGGGAAGGAGAAATGGGAAAGGTGGAGGGAGGGGTGGGAAAAAGATGCCGTGAAGCACTGCACCCCTGGACTTACTGGCTGAGAAACAGAGAGAAAGCTGGGACTGCATGGACTCAGTCTGTGTTTTGCTCTCACTGTGCCTCCGTCCTTCAAGCACTGAGCTGCCGTCCCCGGTGGAGAGAGGGGGAGCTAGCATGGCAGGGAATTAAAACACAAACACAAACAAAACACGCAAGTTCAGTAAATAAAAAAAGAGAAAGGAAATAGGAGAACATTAAAGAAACCACAATGCTGGGCACAAAACATGCAGGAGTATCTTCCAGGGCAAAGCCAAGTAGACAGCTCTACAACGTGGACCTGCTGTGCAATTTAGAAGGGCACAGGGGCAGGACGGGTGCTGCCTTTAGCCCCACCACAGTGGAAACAACATATCCCTGAGGCAACCGTCACTGATGGATCAAGACGATGTCTCCTACACCACAGCCGAGCAGATCTGCGTAACCTGTTGTCTATTGAAAATAAGAAGTTGGCAGAGGAACTGCACAAGCACTTCCCTTTTCCCAGAGTCATGGCTATGCAGAACACTGGGAACTCCAACACCCCCAAACCTTTTGGTCTATTTAATTTTGCTCGAATGCCTGCTTAGCTTAAAACATGGAGGGGCAGGAGTTAAAAAGGAACAGTGGTAAACACTGCTACACTTAAAACTGAAGCACTAAAATTACCCAAGCTGGACATAGCACAAACCATTACTGTGCAAGCTCCTTCCCTCCCAACAACCATTCAAAGGCTCCCTTCTATTAAAATTGACACAAAATTTTCTAACCTCTGCCAAAAAAAAAACCCCTCTCAGTTTTGATCTGTAGCAATGTAGCCCTATACAATTCATAGATTTAGCCCTGGCCAGCTTCCCTCCTGCCCCCCCGCCCCCCTTCTGTTCCAGTCCTACCCTTCCTTCTCCTCACAGCATTCTTATTCCTGACTTACAGGACCTGTGGCTCAACTGGCTCAAGTCTGGAACCTCTCCTGAACAAAAGATGCCAAGGCAGACAAGGTTCTGGACAAATATCTGTTCTGGACGGATATCCAGCAGAGATCAGATAAATCAGTTTCATCACCACACTACCAAAAACATCCAGTTCCCTTCCCTCAAAGCTAAGTTCTTAAACCACAGATTACTCTTTGGCAAAAAGGTGGGAGCTAAAATACTGACCTGTAATGAGGTCAGGTCTTATCTGAAACAATCTGTATGGCAGAGCTCATTCACTCGCTGTCACGCATTTCTGCTCCCTGTGACTCCTCCAGAAGAGGAGCCAGCAGCTTGTGATAAGCCACAGGAAAAGCATCGGGAGCTATCCCAGCTGACCGAGGTGACATTGCTGCTATACCACAGGGTCAGCATTGATTTCTCCCTGGATATGTAACTCAGATTGACTACAGGGAGAATTAGAATACTCTGCCTCAAAATGCAAACTATTAACACATTTGCCTCAGAATGCAAACTGCATTCACCCATGCCCAACCTGCTCATTCAGGAAAATGCCTGCTCATCCTTCTTTAGGGAGGTCAGGAAAAGGATAGCTGCTCAAACAAGATGAGCAGATATGGGACTCAAGGCTCCTTCATCTAAAGAGTTTTACAAGCACGGAATATTTAAGACACTGAAAGGTCAAGGTGTGAAATATCTCCTCAGCCTCTCCCTCTACTGATATCTCAGTCAAGGATGTGAAAAATCATTTCCATTCAGAGACGACAGGCTGAGAATGATCTTCATCTTAGTAACAAATACAGACCCAAAGAGAAAAAAATAAAAAAAGGGAAGCATGTGCATGTCACTAGAGAGACTCCCAGAAAGGGGTGAGAAGGGAGACTGAGCAGTTAGCAGAGAGGTTTCAACTCCCTGTAACCTACAGGGAAGTACAAAGCCACAACCAGACTACAAACCTCAAGGGACTGGTAGGGATTTTCCAAGCCTGGAAATGGACTGGAGATGAACAGATTATGATATTTGCAAGAAAAAAATTCCAACTCTGAGACAAAAACAAATTAGCTCAGGGCAAACAGTGTTTATATACCACAGAGGCCAAGTCAGCTGGTTCCCCAACACATGGTCCCACTGCGACAGGAACGACAGCGGCATGGCGAATTTATGAACTGAGTCAGACACAGAAATCTGGGCAGCTAGTTCAAGGCAATGATCGAATCTCCAGCATCCCCTGCCTGCACTTAACTGTACTAGAAATTACAGGCAAAACACCTACCTTTCAGATCGTCATCTTCGGTCGTGGTGTTACAGCTCTCTGTGGAACCCTGCACGGCAGAACAGAGCATTACCAGGCATCAGCAGTTGGGAGCACGAGTAAATAGTTTGATTTCTTTGTGAAGGGAGATGGGGAAAAGCGCAAAAACATTGGCAGGGATGGCAGGGAGAGGGTGATACAAGGAAGATTTGGATGGAAGCACGCCAGATATTAAGCGAAACTTAACAGCATCTCTGCTCAGCTTTTGCGCATTTAAGCCGTTCAAACCGTCCATCCAGAACTTTTACAAGGACAGAAGTTACCAAACTCTGTCAAATCAGATCAGCTGAGAGTTGCTACCGTTTGGAAGAAGAATAGCCACAAGAAGCTACAGAAGGGCCCCTAGGCTTTCTCAGAGGAACAGGTCTCCATCTCCAGAAGAAAAAAAAATTGTGTAAGTGCCTGTATCTTTTCCACCCCACATATGAAAGAGAGTGCTGATTACACACCACTACTGCGGAAAGAGATGATAGTATTTGAACAGTTGTCCCTACTCAGCCTCTTCCAGAGATCCACAGCCATACAACACAACCCTCCCAGTCTACTGCCAGCAGTATCTGGGAGCACGCTACAAACCAGACGTCGGAAAGGTAGAAACCGAAGTAAGACACACAAAGACGAGAACAACAAGAGAGAAGCAGAGGTTTCTCTGGCAACGCTCCCAATCCCTTACCTTTATGCCATCTGTAGCATTATGGACAACAGTTGTTTGAGGCTCCTAGGAAAGGATGGAAGAATCATTAAACTCCAGTTCCAGAGCATTCTCTCATTTCTTTTCACTCCCCAGCAAGTGGAGAAAAGGTGACTGACATAAGAAAAAAAAAAACAAACAAACCACAAACTCCAAACAGCACACGTGTGCTTGCGTGCGCGCGCGCACACTTCCTGCACAGAAGGTTTCCTTGAAGAGAGAGGCTGCACTAAAAGCTACAGTTGCAAGGAGACAAAGCCCCCAGCTTCCCTGCAATTCCCCCAAATTCCCAATTTGCCTCCAGTGAACCAGGCTGGCACAAATGCCAGACGGCAACTGAGCAGCCAGGCTGCACCCTTTGCAGCCGTTCATGAAATAATGACCCCTCCACAGCGTCCTCACTGGAAAATGCTTCAGAAGAGGGAGAGGAAAGGATAATACTGGGCTGGGGCCTTTGTCTCCCAGTTTTTTGGAAAGTTTGCCAGATATTTTACACTAAAAAAGGGACATTCATAATTTCCATCATAAAAAGGGGATAAGCCAGACCACCTCACTGCCTCTCAGAGAGGAGCTGCTAAGGGAACTGGGCTGTCAAAAAAGGCACATTTTTCTAAACGTCTCTAAAATGAGATCCAATTTCAGTAACAACAACAATTAATAATTTAGAATGGCTCCCTCAGTATCAAAACCATAATGAACAAAGCCAGTGAAGGGAAAGCAGAAAATTATGAAGTGTCCCAAGATCCCTTTGCCCTACAACAAACATCAGATCCCACCCTCCCACCCCCCAAAAAATGCCAAATCCAACTCCAGAGACACACAACAAAGAGCAGCTACCAGGCCTACGGGTGCTAACTAGCTCCTGCACTCATCCCTTCTTTACTGGGACAAGACTTCAGGATCCCGAACCACCTCCTCCCACTGCTGTCGCTCTCACAGGGCGGCTCAGCCAGGGCACCAGAGGCTGTGACGGTGCAGTGACATACGCTCACCCAGCCACCTCCGTCACCCATCACACTGCTGCCTGATCTTCCAAGCGTACTGAGGCAGACCACACCGAGCTGTGCCGTTAAACATACTGGGCACATGGCAGCCTACGAAGCCTGCTGCACGCAGCCCAAACAGAAAACACTAGCCCAGCAAGTCAGCGAGCTGTGGAGGATCAACCACACAACTGAGCAGGCCAAATGGGCCATCAAAGGATTCCTCTAAAAACCCTTTGCCTGCCCTTTCTTCTGTGGTGTCCTGAAGTCCATCCTCCATTTCCTGGGTGTGGGAGAGTGGATGGAGCTCGCCACTCTCCTTCCAAACCAGCCTCCCCAAAGCCAGCGGGAACAGTTGAACGGGACACACAGAACTATTACAGGGATGGCACAAGGGGAAGTCCAGGCAAGCTGCGATCCCCACATCCAACCACAGCTCTGCTCAGCACCCCCACCCCAAAGCCTGTGAGGCTGTGATCAGGCCCCACAGCAGCACAGGGACAAAGACAGAACAAAGCCAAAACACAAGCTGAAACAGAGCAGCACAAGCAGCACTCGGGATGGGGGGGAGGGAGAGAAGGGGAGAGGACAGAAGCAAAATTAAACCAAACAGGAAAAAAAAAATAGCGGTTGGGGAAGATACCATGGACGTCTGCACTGGGGGTGTTTCTTTTGCAGTGCTTACTATACTGGTTTTGTTGTTGCTCTGTGGCTGAGACAGAAAAACATGGTTTTAGTTCCCCTGCTGGGCAGCAGAGGCAGCAAGAAAACGACAGTGTGGCTTCAATCCCAACCATCTCCTCAGACCCTCCCCTCCCCACAGGCTTGATCACCAAGAGGGAGGAAGAAGGAGTGCTACCCAGGTCGCTGGACATCATCCTTCCCTCAGAAGCAACATATTTTGTAAGGCATGTACCAAAACCCAAATGTGCATGGACTGCTAGAGCTATAAGGAAGGAAAACAGAAGGGAAAAAGGCAGCAGCCCAAAGGGATGGGGAGAATCCTGGAACAAGCACCAACAAAAGTATTTGGTGAAGAAGAATGAGAGATGGCAGCAGTCCCGAGAGAAAGAGACTACAGAAGTGAGACACACACAGTAGTCATGGTGCAGTCTCAAACAAATGGGAGTCGTGTCTGAGGAGTCCCAAAGTGTGCAGGAACAGTCCTAGATATGTGATGATGCTGAGGGTCGCAGGGAATCTACTGATGCGAGAAAAAGTGTGGTCAACCCTAGAAAAGGTAGAGAAAAAATGAGGTATGGTGTGTTGCATCCCCACCGGGACCTGAACAAAGACACTTCAGGGCCAAAATATGGAAAGGGATGGGGGGTGGGACACAAGGAAAAGGCCACGTAGTTCCTCAAGTAGCAAGGCCTCTGGATGGCGCCCAGTAGTTTTTCGTCTTTCCCCGCTTCAGTCTCTCTTGTAGCTGTGGTAGAAGAATAAAATCTCCATTTCCTGCATTCACATAGCACAACAGGCTGCACCAGCTTGCTGCAAAGAAACATCCCGCTGAGTCATGTATGTCAGTTAGGTCAGGAACGAGCAAAGTTTATGTTTGTAGGAAGGCAAACCTGTGTCCATTAGTATATAGTTCCAGGCCCAAAAATCCAGCCATTTGTTGGAGAATTAGGCCCACAGTTACACTGCCGTGTAACCCCCACACCAAGTAGGTAGCTCTCCTGCTGCCAGACAGCAGCAACAATGTCAAAATCAGCACTGCAGGAGCCTCACTCAACTCCTTGGTTTATGGAGCAGGGGTACTGGATGGGAGCTCACAGCAGCATGACCTCGCTGCAGCTGCTCTCCATCCCACTGCTCTTGGGGAGTGCAAACTCGTGCTGCAAAACATCAGGCCCTCATCACCCAATAACCACCACAAAGAACGCAGAAGTCAAGTGCTCAGCTGGAATACATCTGCCAAAGGTTTAATTATGTCAGCCAGAGACAGATTCCTATGAGACTGAGACTTCACACACACCTACTAATACTCCAGTATGCATGCGGCAGCATGCCTTGGCTTAGCTATCCCTTTTGGAGAGGGAGAGAGGAGAAACAGAAGAGGAGGACGAGGTGGGTGGAGAGGGGAGGAAGTAGATGAGAGAGACAGGAATGAAGTCTTTAAAAGTCCATGGGGAAAAAAAAAGAGCATATGACACACTCATCCCCAAAGCTAAGAAAGGAGGAACACTTCACAAATTACTGTCTACTGCCTCTTCCTATATATCTCCGCATTGTCCTAAGACTTTGGCTTTCCAAGAACTTCGCGTCCTGCATGTATTTCCAGCCTGATGGCAGAAGAGATGACAGGCCACTGTGGATGTAAGAGAGGAGCAGATCAACCTGAAAAAAAATGAATCCCAAGCTATTTTGTGGCATAAACACAACCAAACTTCTGGCAATGCCTGGGTCCACCCCTCCACACAGCACTGAGGTTCCCATACATCTTCAGAAACAGTGATCCTAATGCAAGAACTATCTTCCAAACCTCTTCCAGTGAGCAGAGCACAGCCCATTTTTCTTAGTCCACTGGGCTAAGAAGATAAAGTTAGCATGAAAGAAGCTATACAAAAATACTTCTGATTTTTTAGAAGGCTTTATCACTGAAGCCAAATGGGAAAAAACCCAACCCACTGTTCTGAAAAAAAGTTGACAGCAGCTTGCTTGGTGTGGAATGTCACCTTACGAAGTACAAACCCATGCACACCCAAAGCACACAGCCTACCCTCCAGGCTGCACTAAACACCCAGGTCATTCATTATACTCTTCCCCATCCAGTGGGCTGAAGAAGACCGAGTATCATATTTGCTAGTCCAGAACCACATAGCATTTTACTCCAGAACAGACTCCCACGGGAATAAGAGGCAGAAGACTTAGCCTAAGCAGTTTTCACAGCTCTTCTCAGATGGAAGTATCTGACATACTGAGCTTCCTGCCACCTAACCAACTGCCCTTCCCTGGGAAAGACTGGCCTGCCCTTCCCAGAGCCCCAGGTACCACAGCCAACTCTTACCCCACCTTCCCCTCCTACTGCCAGCCGACATCACGGTCACTGGGCAGGCTACGATCCTTGGTAATTCACAGCAGTACAGATCAAGTTAAAAGAGGCCAATTCACCTAAAAAGGTGCCAGGCCCTTCTTAAGATCTACGTAACACGATTAGTTTTGGCACAGCAGTTGGCAGCACTTCCTGAGCTAGACAGGAGACAGACAGATAGGCACAAACAACACAGAGGGTGCAAGAGAAAGAAAACAGACCAGTGATCATATCGCTAGGGACACACGTTTCTAGCCAACTAAAAGAAAATAAGTACCAACACATGGGCTGTCTCTGGTTATTCAGCCACCTTCACTGCTTCCATGTTTTATGAAGCTGACATTTTCACGGTTTACATATCCCAGCTGCTCTAAAACAACATGCAGAGGGAATTTAAGTATTGCTGGCAGTGGGCAGAATAGAAGGGCAAGAAAGGCACAACAAACTCCTGCCCTGGAGTTTCATAAAGGCAGGGCTGGTGAAAAGTCAGTCCCTCACATCAGATTTTCCAAGCAGTACTTTGGGATTACTTTTTTGCATTTACATAGTTTTAAGCTGTCACTGAAGGATGAATAAGAAAAATATCTTCCAGATAGTAATGTAGAAAGAAATTATTCTGCTCTCCCAGTATGGTAACATTCCTATTCCTACCTGCAACAGGGGAGAAACGTTTTCTGTTCTTTTTCAATGGAAAGGAGATAATGCAATAACTAATTTGTGTATTTTAGTATGTGCTTAGTTCATATCTCAGTGTCAGAGACAACGGCATCATCCGATGGTCTGTGTATGACTCCTTACAATATGGCACTGGCCAATTTTCTTTTTGCTCCCTTGAGAGTGGATTTGACTACTTTTCTAACAAATTCTATGGATGTCAAACATCTGGATGGGTGAAAAAAGGAAATGAATAGGACAGGGGAGGCAGTTACTGGGTATTTGGTCATGCTGGGATACATAAACAAGATCAGGACAAAAGGAAGTTTGGGATTATAAAGGCTCTGACAAACCTTTTCAGTAAGTATGCTAAAAAAAGAAGTGACCGGCAGCTCTGAGCTGCCCGGCGGTGCTGTGCCCACACATTTCATCTGAACAGTGGAGCCCCATCAGTCTCTGCCACATTTGGAGCGACTCCCAGTTTGTTCTACACTGCAGGGCTCCCACCAAGGATGACGGCACCAACACCAGGCAAAGCACCTGCTCCTCTTTTTGGCACCTCTGCAACAGAATGACAAAGCCCCATGTCCAGGCAAAGCACACACCTGCTCTGCTCAGCCCAGGCGAACCACTGCCTTTTTTCATTTCACACTCAGAGCAGGCAAGGTCAAACTGCATTGCCAGCAGTTGATTTTTCTGCACAAAATGGGAAGTGTACGACTGGCCGGGGGCCAGACAGTCACAGGGCCCTTTTAGTGAGGACATGGACCTTTCAGTGCACAATGATCCCCCCCTGCCACCGCCCCCCTGCACAGACATGCTATGTAGGGTGATGAGCACAAGCCGAGCGTGCATGGCATGAGAATGGTGGACGCACGAATCGCAGGCAGCTTACGGGAGGTGCTCACCATCAAATGCACACTGGAGCTCGACTTCCTTTTCTGGACACACCATTGAGAGAGGGAAAGAGAAGGGAAGAGAGGAGATGAGAAGAAAAGCACAGAAACTATTCACACATTAGTGTGGCAGCGAGGGCCCCCCTGCCAATAACGCTCCCCTAGGGGCAGGTATAAGCAGCAGCAGAAATGCACAGACACGCGAGAAGGCACAAAGAGAAGTCACCATTAAAGAACACGACTACACACGAGGGGAAAGGGCAAGGCTGACAACCCCCATCCACTCAGACATCAAGGTCAGAACATATGTGCCCCACACACTGATAAAAGGAGAGAAGAGGAAGGAATATATATGCACAAGACGCGGGATGCAAGGGGGTGCCCTCTATGTGCTCTCCCACCTCAGAAAACTGTGCAGCTTCCCCAGCCACACTGAAGGGGTAGGCAGAACCCCCCCGTGTGTTCACATTGGGGGAAGCAGAGGCATGTTTGCAACTAGAATCAGAGGCTAGGGTGGAAGGTGCAACAGGACGGGCATCCCCAAGGGCTATAGAAAGAAGAGGGAACTTCTGTGCATAGCACGGGGAGGAGAAAGGCTCCCTCACACAAAAATTGGGGCCGACTGGAGGCAAGGCGCACCCATACTCAGACACAGAGGAAAGACAAGGAAGGCAAAGGGGCACTCAACAGCCAGAACACCTTGTGCTCTCAGATCCTGGGAAAAGAACAAACAGGGAGCAATGCTCTAACACTACCCAACCTTCTTGGACTCTACTCTTGTTCAAAGGCATCTTCAGTCATCTTCAAAGACACTTTCATGTCAAACTGCACCCTCCAGTAAACCAGGCTCAGCATGAATTTCTCTGCTCTTTCACTACAGTCTTCATGTTGTCCTGTTCAAGCTGAGCCTGACAGGTCTTTCAGCACCACAATGCTACCCCTTTCCCCTGCTGTCTCCACATACATCTTTCCATCTGCCCTTCTCCTTTGGTACTATCTAGGCTATTTCTCTGCTGTTTACTACTCATTGGGAGGTACTGCAGAATCTAGCTCAGAGTACTGTAAGACAGCATGTCCCAGTCAAAACCCACGATGACATGGCCTCAGCTACGTAGCTCTGGACTACCTGCACACGACCATGGCCCAGCTCTGGAGCAGCCCTTCAACTCAGTACAAGCCATGGAGTTGTACCTCCCCATTTCATACACTTACTGAGCCTTCACAGCTTTCACCCTGAATATTGCCTTCATCCCTGCTATCCTCCCGTCAGAGCTCAAGCACACATACAGACTGGCATGTCTGTGAGAGCAGAAGTGCCCATGTTCACCTCATACCCAGAGCCGCACTCCTAATCACACCATACAGCCCAGAATCACACAGCCACTGCACGAGCAGACTCAAACTAGCAAAGCTTCTGTCTCATCTGATCTTTTAATTCCAGTACGGACAGACTCCAAACACTGATCTGTTCAGCATTTGGCTCACCAGTCATCCACTTTATGGAGGTGCAACACAGGGCTTGCCATTACCTGGTTTACAAACTTGTGATTCCTCTCATCTTCCTTTAGTATAATTTAGCTTCTCCGCAGGCTTTTCTTTAAGCTAGAGCTAAAATAGGAGGTACTACCAGTGCATGAGTACAATGCTTAGACCACCAACAACCCAGAGGAATCCTCATGCCCAGTCGCAACAGGGAATTCTTAACTGGGAGAAGTGGTAATTCACACCAGCAGAGAAACTGCTCCAAAACTTCAGTTTTTATTTTTAATGTATCCTAATAAGTTGCACCAGACAAACAGAGGCTATACGGATACTGCAGGGGAATGTCTCTCTAAGGAAGACAGTCACATTTGAAGTTCATATAGATTTCCAATGAGTTACAGAAACAAAGAAAGGGGCAGAAAATATTAAGAGACAAGCAAAAGGTTCAATATGAGAGTCAACCGACCCATACAGAAAACAATCACCCTCCTATGTTAGAGGCAAAAGTAACACTGACTCAGGAGGAAACAGAACCCTCTGCAGATCAAAATTTCATTAGAGTACAATCTACATTTACAACAAAGTTGGTCTATTAACATGGCATGATGTATTGTAGAAATCATAGAAAGCACATTATTGCTGGCTACTATAACAACAGGGGAGAGAAAGGCTAGCTAGGCAGTAAGAAAAGGGTAGGGGGGTGAGGTCTGTGTTAAGACCAGAGCATGAAAGTACTCATACAACTCAAGGCAGGTTGGATAATGCCAACGTGAGGCACCAGCAGTAAGTGCTAAAGCAACAAAACTTATTAAATCAAAACATATACAAGGAAATTACTAAAACCAGATCAGTCTCCCAGTCCCCTCTGTAAGAGCTGCACCAGAGCCATCTACATCACCTTCCCAAGGTGACTGGCTGAATAAGCAGAACTTGTTGTTCTTCTTGTAATGTGACTGCAACTTAGCAAAGTATTTTTAAGTTACATCTCTTAAGTATTTCTAAGCAGTGCAGAGTCATCCCAGGGAATGCAAAAAATCATTGAAGGCAGAGATAGCCTATGGTAAAGTACCCCTCTGATCACTTTAAGGATTTCCCTAGATCTGAGCGACAAAAATTCTCCCAAAGCAGTATGGACAACATTTTCTTCTCAAAACCAGGAATGAATTTAAAGTTCTGTATTTGTTTGAAATTCAGGTGTTAATTTCACAAGAGGAGCAGATTCTCTACAACGAAACTTAAGGAAGACTCCTGCTTCAGGTAACAACTAACAGAAGTCAGCAGGTGACAGAAGACAACCTGAAGAATCACTGTCCCTTCAGCACAGCAGCAATACTAGAAATGGCAAGTGTAAATCATCCCGAGCACCTATAGAAAATACAACACAAACTAGAAGATGCTATAGGGAGCAGAGTGGTTCCAAGCAATGTCCCATTCACAATTCTGGGCACCTAACACGGGTATCTTTTTACAACAGCTTTTTGCATTTCTGTCTTCAACATGCAGTTCTCCTCCAGTTTGATATTGACAGTATCGGTATGTTAAAATACCACGCTTGCTGCAACTCATATTCCTATAGAGAGAATAGTCGTTTCAGGACTTAAGGTACCTAAAAAATATGTTCAACTCAAAGCAGATCAACGAGAGGCAGCCTGAACTCACAGATTTGAGGTCCTATTTCTACTTCTTCTTTAGTCCTTTTGTGCGATGCTGAGCAAATAATTTCATCTTTGCCAATCCATCTTCTCTCTTGCCCTTTGTCAGCTTGTCTATTTAAATTGTAAGCTGAGAGGCAGGGATTTTCTGCTTAGACATCGCTACAGCTCTAAGCACACTGGACCCTTGATCTCAGTTGGAGTTTCTAGGCCTTACAACAATGCAGTGAAAAAAGTGAATGCATCAAAGGTGGGTAGAATGTGTTACTGGATGTCAGCACTCGCACAGATCTGAAGTGCTCCCCAGGCATCTTCCATAAAACAGTTCAGCATAAAACTGTGCTGTTCAGGTGAACCCGGGTTCTCCTCATTTAGTTTCACCATAACAATATTTAAACAGTATGGCTTTAAGATCATAAATAGTCCAAATACAGAAATAGGAGCATTAACTCCTGTCGGTCACTGCATGGACGTTACTCGACCCTTAGAGATTTCCAGACTTTCTAAGGATTCCCTGTTGGTTCACCTTGCTACTGTGCTTTCTCTGTCTAAGGCACGCTTTCGCTAACTGCTTTCTCAGCAGCCGTGCCAGCTCACAGAGCATCCCGCCTTCCCCACATACTCTTTACTGGGCAAAGGGCAGGGAAAGTTGGTACCCACCAGGCATAAAATGTACACTTACCGCAATATTCCTTACAAAGAGCAGAACAAATGATATTTGGTGCCTCTTTGCAGTTATGCAAGATGAAGGACAGGTTTTACAACATTAACCTCGTCACACCAAAAATCTGGATCTTTACTCTTTCAGCTGAGTTCTCCTTTCAGCTATGCTATTCAGCTTTTACTGGGAAAGAAAACAGCGTGCATGCAGCAGAGAGACAAGGTAGAAAATTAACAAATTTTGCAGAGCATTGCAAGTGAATGCTGTTAAAATCTTCTACATCCCATAGCATTCTGCACAAGTTACTATTTATATAGAATGTTACACTGGGCCTGAAAAACATTTTGTATCCCCTAATCACAAACCTAAGTGCTCAGAAAAAAAAAGAGAAGAAAGCGACAAAGAGCTTAGAGAAGAACTAATTTTAAAATACTTACAATTACATACTTAACTAAAAATAGCACTTTGCGCATTAACAAATTCTGGTTATAAAGATGGATCTGCCAGGCCCTGCTAGAACTGGAAACACATGCATCCTCTCACACGAGTAGGAAGGGAAATTCCCCTTTGGGAAAAAAGCGAACATGACATTGTGTGCCCAGACACACACACACACACACACACAAGAAAAAAAAAAAAATCAACAGTAGGACTATAACACTAATTACAGGGAGCCCAGACCCTGACAAGGTCAGAGAAAGGACATTCAGCATAAAGTGTCCTTAATCTTCACCCAGGTGTCTGCCCCAGCCCCTTCCTTAATCCCTCCCTCACCTTGCAGTGGATGGCAAGTCCAGATTACAGGCAGAAAGGGGAACAAGAAAGCAAGCAGATTTGACATGAGACTGTCTAAAGTAAATTTTAAAATGGCAGCTGCACAATGTTGCTTATAAATTTAGAATCTTAAAAAAAAATACCTGGGACCTACAGTGGTGGCCACAAGATAAGTGGCATGTTACATGCCTCTGCAATTCGTCACCCAGTATCTTCTAGCCTCACTTTCTGGATTTGAAAGCTGAAAAGTATGTTTCTTGGGGATAAAATGTGGGCCTTCCTTGTTGCTACTCCATCAGCTTGGATCCAAATTCTGCCTGAAGAAAGTGAGTGCAGCACTACCAAAGGTTGGGTGTGCAGGGACAATTTAAGATTCAAGGCAGTTTAAATCATTCATTATTTAAGTTAATGGAAAAGTTCTCAAGTGCCAAGCTGATGAAATATCTACCAATTAGCAGAATTAGTACTTGAAATAGAAGCAGCAGTGCAAAATGAAAACCAGAAATGCTTAAAATAGATTTTGGAAAGGAATTTGCTAGAAGAGAGGGTCATACACATGGCAATTTGTCAAAATAACCCCAGTGTGGACACACCTATATAAAATGTTTGCTTCCAGTCCTCCCCTCCTGATTTAAGCTTCCCCCCCTTCCAAAGTGGTCCAATGCAAGTAAAATGTGTCCGTCCCCATTGCTTTACTGTGTTAGGCTTGCTTCAGCAAAGGATTAAAGCCAATTCCTATAGAAAGAAGAATTGTGGGGTTTTTTCTTACATATCAGCTCAGCATGACTCACACTAGATGCTTATATCACCGCATACAACTAATATATCACTCCTCTCTCGTTTATGCTACATTAGCAACAATACCCTGTACCTTGCATCAGATACTCACCAACACCAATTTTCACGGAGTTCTTAGGAATAAAGCACGAGAAAGACATATAGGCCTCACTGAAAATTGCCTAATATTATGCAATAGAAATTCCTACTGTATTTGTCAAATAATGCAGGATTCTAGCATAGATATCTCTGAATATCAGCCAAAAGGATGGGAAAGTTACCTTGAACAGAAAGTAAATTAAGACAAACTGATGATGTTTTTTTCTCAATGGCTTAAAGCCAGTAGTTTTCACACTAGTGTACTTATCAGTTTGTGGAAGAAATATTCTTTCTATTCTCATCTACTGTGTGGATATCTGTGGCAACATTATCATGGAGCACAGTCACCCGGGACCAGATAATGCCAGTGAAGAAACTGAAATATATTTTCTCTCAAATCTCCATAAGGAGCTAATTTCCAAGAAAGTTTTAAGAAACAAACAGACAAACAAACCTAACCACCAAACAAACCATGAGTCTCCATATCTGGAGGGAACATAAGAAACAGCCTAACCACATGGCATGTGGTCACTAGCAGGCTACAGTTAAAAATACAGCACACTATGCTTCTTCTAAACCTACATCTGATGTAAAATTATTTATATAGGAAGTGGGAGTGAAAAGGATAACACGAAGCTGAAAATCTGTTTGGTCTTCAAGTCATGATATCTGTGCTCTACACTACCGCAGTGGGCAGAAAAATCATAGCTTGCTACAAGTAATTGTATTGGGTCAAGCTGAGTGGTGCTGTGCTTTCTATTGGTATGTAGAGAGGGGTTGATAACACACCAATGTTTTGGCTACTGCTGAGCAGTGCTCGAACAGCATCAGGGCTGTGTCTCCAACATTCCCCCACCACCACTGGGTTGGAAGGGGGCAAGATCTTGGGAGGGGACGTAGCCAAGACACCTGACCCAAACCAACCAAAGGGATATTCCATACCATATGATGTCAGCTCAGATATAAAAACTGAGGGAAAAGGAAGAGGAGGGGAGGCATTCACATTTTATGACGTTTTGTCTTCTGGAGCAACAACTATGCATACTGAAGCCCTACTTCCCAGGAAGTGGGTGGACATTGCCTGCTAATGGGAAGTGGAGAATAAAATCTTGTTTTCCTTTTGCTACCATGCACAGCCTTTGTGTTTGCTTTTTTATTAAACTGCCTTTATCTTGACCCACGAGTTTTCTTTCTTTTCCATCTCCTTCTCTCCCCGCCTGTCCTATTGAAGAGGGGAGCGACAGGGCAGCTTGGTGGCACCTGGTGTCCAGCCAAGGTCAACCCACCACAGTAATGCAAGACCAGATGCTCTTAACCAGTCACTGGCACAAGTTGTTTGTCAGAACTATCTAGGATGAGAAAATCAGTGGGGCTAAAATTGCAAGCGTCCTGCATAAGGAGCAGCATATGAAAAGCAGGCTGGTCATAATGATGAGGCCACCAACCAGATAGTGACCAGCAAAGAGGTGGCTGCACAGCAGCCAAGTGTGCCAGTACCGCTCCAATAGGCAAAGGGAAGTGGTAAAGGGCTACACTTCCGTGGTATAACTGAAGAGAAGCTATAACTGAAGAGAAGCAGGACCATACATGTAGACAGTAGGGGCAAGGAAGGAAATAAGCATTGTAGCCACAGAAATCCTACAATGGAAGCATTAAGGATGTACTACAAACACACACAGGCCACTACCTGCTCTCTTATCTTGTCCAAACTTAGCACCGGCAGGAAGTGACCTCTACTTTTAAAGTCTGCATTACTGAGCAAGAGGGTTACTCAAAACACCAGCTTTAAAAAGAAATAAATAATTTCCTTCTGAGTTTTAAAGCTTATAGAAATGAGAACTTAAAAGCCACACCTGAAGATAGATGCTGTCTGGGGGAAATGAGAAGCTTAAACAACTCTACTGAGGGCCCTGAGCCCAGGCTGAAAGCACGTGAAGCCCCTTGTGGACACCATTCAGGTTCACACTGCAGAGCAAGACTGCTCTCACAGGAGCAAGGCAGTTGCATGTAGACTCTTGACTGCAGGTCTCCAGTGTCATGCAGAAGGAGACGAGGTTCCCAGAGGGCAAGGCAACCCCATTCACCATGTACAGAGAATGTTATGCTCTCTTATCTTTCACTTTATCACAGGTATTCAGTTATATGTATCAGGAACAACATACACTGTGAAGAGTTGAAGAGTACTTCAAATCAGCTAGAAAAGCAAATCCAGCTTTACTCTTTTCACAGAGGAAGACACAGAATTCTCAATGAACCAAACACCTCAAGCTTTCTACGGAGCTGGAAGTCTCTAACCTACAGTTCTCCTTGTAACCACATGACCAGGAAGCTGTGCCTCAAAACCTGCGTGCACATCATCTGTCCATTTCTGGAAGATTTTGACCCCAGTTGTGGCACTCCCTGAGAGCCTGTTGGAAATCAAGAATGCTGAGAAGAAAGCCATTTTTTTCTAGGTAGGTGACAAAACCTACATAGACGTGTTATTATCTGCTGCTTTTCCAGTTGCTTCTTCCCTGCCATGTTGGGATTTTGAAGAATGTATCTGCTGGTTTACATTTCACAACATTTGGGATCATCCATTCTTACTCCACTGGGGTTTTACTGTAAAGTCTTGCACATCAACTGATGCAACAACTCAAACACACTTGCTGTATTAGTGTGCATGTGTTCAACGCGTGTCTGTACAAAAGACAGGCATGTGCAAAGGCACAAAAGCTCACTTTTGCAGGCACATTTCAAAGATAAGTATCCTAGGGAAATAACAGCAGTTTCATGTAGCATTTTGGTCAAAAAAACCCCAAAGACTTGGGTGTCATTAGGGCAGAACACAGCAGAACTGCAAGAATACAGGTTTTACTAGAGCAGTCCCCAAAATAAACACAACTCCTCTGAAAACACCTCTTTCTCCAGCAGCCTGCTCGTATTGTGAGCTCTCTGGAAACAAAGCCTTATTAAACTGGAAATGATCTAAGAGAGCAGGAGAGAACAAGTGTGCTGGTCCTGCAGTGCGCACGTCAGCTCCCCGGCATGGGGAAAATGTGCGCTGTCCACAGTGCAAAACCAGGAGATGAACTATTGCGCCTAACAGAAAAGGACTGGACTTCAAATGGAAATGCAAGCAAACAAACCAAACCCTACCTTCCCATATGGAAGACAGTTATCCGTGGGAACAGTAAGGGGAAGACAGTGCTCTGGCCCAACACTGTCTCTACTCCAGTACCAGACGGTAAAGGGCTACTTGCCTGCAACAACATACAGCC